TTTACACAGTATTATTTGTCTGTAAATGATTTTCTGAATATGTATAATTGATGTAACTAGCTTATTGGTGTTGATTATTTAACCATACAACCTTTTTAAAATACTAACAAATTAATAGGAATCACAAACATTAAAATTCATTCTTGTAAATTACGTTAATTCACAATCTTCTTTCAGTTTTTTCTCTCATTTTCATTTGTTGTTAAAGTAGTGAGTTGCACAAGATTTTTTTGATGATTTATGGACTAGCCTGTATCCTGTGAAAGGTAAAGTTGAGTTAAACAAAGGGAATGGTCAAAATATTAATGTTGAAATATGTTTAAAGATAAAAATTGTGTGAAATCAACAACTTTTCCTGAGAAACTTATACAAATCGTTCTCTCTATATATGTGTGTATTATTTAGGAAGCTGAAAATTAAAAAAAGAGAATACAGAGTAGAGGATGGAAGCTATACTAATAATTTTGGTTGGACTTACTATAGTAATACCTTAACATCTTGGTCCAAACATCACATTGGGGCTTGAATGCTAACTTCAAGGATAGTTTTCTGTCTCCACCATTGATGTATTGTATTCTACATCATATTGGGGCTTGAATGCTAACTTCAAGGATAGTTTTTCTGTCTCCACCATTGATGTATTGTATTCTACATCATATTGGGGCTTGAATGCTAACTTCAAGGATAGTTTTATTTTCTACTTTTCTTAATCATGTGAGGCAGGCGAATTTGAAACTAAACTACATAGACGGTGTACCCCCAAAACAATTTATGTCTTACTTCCGCCAGTACCTCTAAAAACCAGAGCGCATTACATAACGACCCATTTTATGATTTGTGCCCCGGTGTTGGATGTTTGCATGTGGTAGCGGTTTTTTCTCATCAATTAACATTTAATTATATATATGTATATACTTATATATTTATTAAAATAAGATTGTATATATTAATACTGTCTGCAATCATGATGTCTTTCATATACTATTTAGCAGAGACCTATGTATATCTCCTTCAAAATGTATTTTAACAATAAGTTTAAGTAAAGATATATGTTACTATCTTTAGATTCTAAATCATTATGTTTAGTAACATAACTGTTAAATAATAAATATGTTAAGGATGGATTAAAAGTGAAATAATCGACATGAAATAAATCATTAAAGTAATAAACGACTGGACAACCAAAAAATAAATGAAAGTACAGAAAATTTACTTAATACCTAACTCCTCCATTAAGTAATATCTGGAAAGTGGTTAATGAATCCATGAACACAGAAACGACTAAATGAATCTAAAACCTGATATTTTTTAATTGAGTTTAATGTAATAGAATCGAATATTTGGTGAAACTAATGTTCTGTTATCATTATTTACTTAACTTGGTAAGTTTTGTGAGTCTCTGCCAAGTAAATCAAATTTCATTTAACAGCTATTTTTTTGAACTATCTTTCTTTTTAGTTTATTACTGAAATATATTTTCACATATATATCACATTCTATATCTTGATATACACAGCAGCTTTGAAAGTTGTGTATATCTCAAAAACTCAATAATGTTGTCGTAATTTTTAGTTTGTCGTTTAAAGTATTCTTATTTTTTTAAATGTCATAAGCTGAAGAATTGTTGCAGACCTTAGAATTTGTAATATCGTTTATATATACGAATGTAATATGTAAAGATAAACAATATTAATATAGGATTTTATCAAGTAAGTGCTAAAGATCACTGGGAATATTTATTTTTTTATGTATTTCTGTTTCTTATCGTTTGATTACTAAGTTATCTACTCCATTATTCTATAACTGATTAAGTTACATCCATATTTGTAGCTATAATTGAGAAAACATCCTGATATTTTTTCAAAACATTTTCACAGGAAACAAACAGAAAAATATCATATGTCTCAAGAAACATGTCCGTCTTTGTTTTAAATAACATTATTTGTTTATTCTAAACTGACAACCATATTTACTTTTAATAAAGTAATGAAAACGAAACATTGCTCTCCGTGTGTCACCAATAAGTTTAAGGTACTCTAATACTAAGTATCAGAATTAAATTGTTGGTGTGGAACAGCACATGTTTGATATTGGGTGACTTTTTGTTTGAAGTGTAGAAAATGAAGAAACGAATCGATAGGTTTTGATATAGAACCGACCGAAACGTTGGAGCTCATTATTTAAGGATCACGTAAATTCTCTTTGAGATAAGCTTGATTCATTAATAAAAAACGTCAAAACTACTTTCAAGTATATCACTTATGTTACTTGTAGTAAAAAATTACAATGCTAGGTACAGAAATAACTTTCAGTGTTTCCAAACAGTTATTATTACTCATGTGAAGTCAATTGTTCTATTTCTATTATAATATAAATAGTCATACAATGAGGACATTTACGAACATTGGTTTTAAGAACGGTTTTGAAAGAAATATAACCAATACGTTATTTCACGACGTATACTAGAAAAGAAAAAATTTAATAATTTAATGATTTGGATCAGAAAACATTGACTAGATAAGAACTGCACTTTATTAATGCTTGGGGGTTTTACCCGAAAAATGTATTTTTCACTGTCAACAACGAGGACGACCACTTCGATAATTTACGTTACCTTTATGATTTAGAATTTTTGCTGTCACTACAGGGTAAACACATTTTTCACGATTCTTCATTACTTTTACTAAATATTCTTAGATTGTCCAATAACTTGACCTGTAGCCTTGTGTAATAATTACTCTTTTTATGACATATACTCGTACAACCCATAGAAAATCAAATGATACTGGAAGGATAATTTAGCAGAGGTAAAGACAATCAAGTCAACATTGAATTCCAAATTACATGTAAGTAAGAGGGGATAGCTGTAGATATATTTCAGTTTATTTAAACAATTATATGAATACTTTTTAAAATAAGTTATTCTATGATATCGACAATGAAGGGTGGAATTCCATGAAACCGGTATAACTTTGTTTCATGGGATAAATCGAATGATAGATTGGGATTCATATTAATTTGTTAGTGTTTTAAACAGGTTGTCTTGTTAAATGATTCACATGAATAAGTTAGTTACACCAATTCTGTTAAATTCCTTTACAAACAAATGATTAATGGGTGAATAAAAGACCTTTCAAACAACCATACATATAATATAAACTCCACCACTATATGTGACGTAGTCTCATTTTTTTCAAGTTTCACTAATAAAAGATGTGATCACTTGTAATCTGTATAAATAGATAACAATGGTGAATTTATTATATATTGGATTGACAGTTAATAATTTAAACAGCTTGTTTTGTGACATACTACATAGGGTTAACTTAGTTGCATCAGTGCTAAATGATCCTGAAATTACTATATTACTACAGAAATCTGTGTGAGTAGATAACATTTGAAAACGTTATATCTATACTGTTATGTCGAGTTTTAAACTCTAAGTCACTTAACTAAAATTACTTCTTAAATATTAATTATCTTCTATCCCATACAAATGATATTAGCTGTGGGAATTTTCACAACTTGAATATTTGCTAAAGCTATTTTATATGAATATAATGAAATCACATTATACAGTATTGTTGTAACGTGTTTTATTGTTGGGAAGGTTATTTGGTAAAAATAATGTGAGGTACATTCCACATGAGAATTATGAATTAGTTTGTTTTTTAACAAATTTATCAGAATAAACTTCACAAATAAACTTACTTCAAGAATTTCTCACTGATTCATTTAATATCAAACACGCTGACTAACTAATTGAACCGCAGAAGTGGACTATCGCTTTGTTACTCCTAACTGACACTGAACTTAATAACTCACTGATTATTCATTCATTACTCATGGATTAACTGCTTTACTGCCTTTGTTATTTATATCGTACTCTTATCTATACATACCAATCGAAACATCTAGATTATTAACTTTTAATAAATTTCTAGATTTTGTGTCATGCGCTCTCTACCAAACAAACATCGAAATAAAGCATTAAAATAGACCTTAAAAAATTACAAAGATTATATATATTTTCGAAAGTTTATAACTCATTGTATTAATAACATGTTTTATAGAGAAAATTGTTGATAATCCTGGTTTGTCATAACTTCATAGATTCGGAGACAAAAGATGTCATATATTATAAACTCAGTGACGATCAACCATTTTTTATTTTTTGTGATTCTTATCTCAAAGGAAATTACTTTTATTGTATGATATCATCGGAAACAAAAAATAATCCCAGAATTCTTAGAGTTAAAAATATTTATTTATATAAAGGTTTTCTATTCTCTAAACAAATATGTCGAACATTCTTTTATATAAATTATTACATCTAACATACGAGTTATATACGATGTATTTTAGGAATTTGTAAATCATAATTTTGTAACACTTTAAATTTCTCAAGAAATTGATATTATTTTTACTCTGTTTTTGTGGTGAAGTATTCGTAATTCTGTTGTGAATTTTAAAGCAAATTTTACTTTCAATACCTTCATAACAATGTTTGTATATGATATTTGATGATAATACATGAAGATGTTTAATAAAGAGAAACAGCCAGTACCCAGTGAAAATTATTTTATTTCTCAACGTTTAATCCTATGGTCTCATCAAGTGGTAGACACTTTACTGAACACAATTCCTGTCTTAACAAAACAAACACATCTACACTCCAGTTTACCTTAAGCTACCATATTACATGAAGGCGTCAGAGCACGTTTCCATTATTTAGTCAAACATTAACATATAGCATTTTATTTTATAAATTAGTTTATCATGAGACATATAATGAACAGCACTTTATCTTACTATATTCTAAAATGGCTTAAAGAAATCTTTATCAGAGCAGCTACAGATGAACAAACATTATGATACTTTATTACGTACTGATTACACAGGAAGTGGAAGCTGTGTTAAAGATATAGCTTAAAAACATCTGAGAATTAAAAAGTGCTAAGAAATTCATTCTAATGTTCAAAAGCTCCGTAACGAGTTCTTTATTTGTCTCCATCAAAACTACTTGATATTGATGGTTGTGTATGATAGGTTTCAGGGAAAAGTATAGTCACAAGTATCCCTATTAAAGGATAAAAATACAATAGGTATATGGGAATGAAATTATAGAGCTATGTACGAGATTTTTACAAGTGAATATTAAACCATGATATAAGTTACGTTGCTTTATCAGTAAAGTTTTGACATAAATTGTCGTTTTATTGTTGCGGTTATATAACTTTTGTGTAATATATAAAGGAAATATACTAGTGAAACTAATAATGAAAAATTAAAAAAATCCAGATCTTTGAAATACATAAATAAGAACACATCTTATTTCTTGAATAACAACACTTGATTCTGACATATCTTACCTATGAATGAAACAGTCGCTGTCACACAAAATGTAGCAAACCATCATAAAGAAGAGCTAATACGATGGAGAACTAAAGGTCAGAGAAAGAAACAAGATGTCTGGAATAAAAGTCATGAACCATCAGTTAAAACACGAACAGTTTATTTTATGTATTGTAGCAAGGTATCGACTTTATTTTTAATATTTTCAAATCTAGAAGATAAAATTTGTTTAATGTAAGTAAACCTTCACTAAGAAGTTTGGTCTTTAACTTTTCTCATGGTTTTCAAGAGAAAACTCAGGCGCCCTCAATGTTTCAAAACTTTTGGTTCGTGTTAATTCGGGTCAATCATTTCTCTCCTTATCTTTAATTATTTGCCAGAATTTATTCCCATCTTATCATGTATTTCAACGATTAGTCACTAGATGTCAGTAAAAATGCAGTTTGTGCTGATGGGATTTATTGTGAATTATATATCATAAACACTGGATATGTAACTCGTATTTATTTAGCATATTTTGTGCAAAAACATTATAACGGATTATAAAAGGGCTTTTGTTTCATTAATAAATAAGTATAGATTATCAAAAAGCGAAATAAAAAACCTGACTTTTTTAGCTTATTTTCAAAAATAGCCTGACACACAAGTGGTTAAACAAACTTATTTAATAATAATAATTTCTTTAGCGAAACATTTACTTGAATATCTATTAAGTTACGATTCGGTAATAAAAATATTGATATTATGGTGTTTTTCTTAACATGTTGGTGATCCATGCTCTACACTTACTGATGTAAAAGTATCATTCAGCAACAGCAAAAAGAAAAAAAAAAAGCTCACAAATCCAGATCATCTACATCAACTCTTCTCCATAAGGTGTCGGCACCAGAGTGAACAGTAATACCCTCATAATTCCAAGCAAGAGAAGACTCGTTAACTTTAGATTTATAATTATATATATTTTATGATTCAATTAGACTAAAGTTAAATAAAAAGTACAACATTACAAGAAACCTGAAACAACAGTTTGATAAACATTGAAAGGTTTTATAATGTTTAATCTACAGATAGGTTTTTATTACACGTACATATTATTATGTCCTGATTTTCTTTAAATGTATATTACTTTGTGTATCAACACCGTCATGGTGTTGGTACTTAGTTTGTAACTAAAGGTAACTAAAGGATAAAAAAAATTGTAACATTTACCACAAAGTT